CCACCTTCCTTCTGCTCCATCCGGGACTCTGTGTTGTGTTCCCTGTCAGGGCGGTTGTTGGTGGTAGCCGGGCACCATCTAGTTCTTCTGGTCCTCAGAATTTTTTTTTTTTTAATTGTACTTTAGGCAAAGGTTTACAGAACAAATAGTTTCTCATTAAACAGTCAGTACACATATTGTTTTATGACATTGGTTAACAACCCCACGACATGTCAACACTCTCCCTTCTTGATCTTTTTTCTTTTTTTTTGGTGAAAATATACATAGCCAAAGATACACCATTTCAAAAATTTCTACATGCACAGTTCAGTGACATCGATTACATTCTTCCAGTTGTGCTGCTATTCTCACTTTAGATAAAGGTTTACAGAACAAAATAGTTTCTCATTGAACAGTACCCATGTTGCCCTATGACAATGGTTAACAACCCCACTACATGTCAACACTGTCCTTACTCAACCTTGGGTTCCCCATCACCAGCTTTCCTGTCCCCTTCTGCCTTCTAGACCTTGTCCCTGGACTGCTGTGCCTCATTAGTCCCGTTTTGTTTTATGGGGCTGTCCAATCCCCTGCTGAACGGTGAACCTCGGAAGTGACTTCACCACTGAGCTAAAAGGGTGTCTGGGGGCCATACTCTCAGGGTTTCTCCAGTCTCTTTCAGGCCAGTAAATCTGATCTTTTTTGTGTGTGTTAGAATTTTGTTCTACAGCCTTCTCCAGCTCTGTTCAGAACCCTCTGTTGTGATCCCAGTCAGAGCAGTCAGAGGTACTAGCCGGGCAACACCTAGCTGTACTGGACTCAGTCTGGTGGAGGCCTTGGTAGCTGTGGTTCAATAGTTGGTCCTCAGAATTACTGAAATAGCTTCCTACCTAGTCTCCTGGCTCCTGCTCTGGACCCTGCCAATCCACTCGCCACACTCCAGGCCGAATGACCTGCTAACTGACTTGATCAGGTCACTAGCTGCTTTAGAACTGCTCAGTGACTGCCCACTGTCTCCTAAGAGCAAACACTCCACATGGCTCTCCAGACCTTCTGGCCTTATTACACACAACTCCTCCCCCTGGTTCTCTAAGCCCCCCAGTCCTGGGACTGGTCAGCTTCCAGCTCTTCAGATTCACCACATCCAGGGATTTTCACACACTGTTCTCTCCACACAGAACTCTCTTCCCCCTTCGCCTCACAGGGCTAAACTCTGTTCCCCTGTGGCAGGCACTTCTTGTCCACTCAACAAGCCATCCTCCTCCAACCTTCCGATAGTTTATTTTCGCTAATTCTTAAATTAAAAAAAACAAACTATATTGTGAAAAGTAACACACATTTAAAAAAGTGTGTCAAAACAAATGTCCTGTTATAAAACGAACCTCTCCACAACCACCACCCAAGTCCAGAAATGGGACACTGCCAGCAGCCCCCACAATGTTGCCTTCTGATCACAGACCCCTCCCACTCCCATAAAGGTAACCACCTTCCTACTGCTGTGATATTTCTGGAAATCTTTACTTGCTTTTTCTTTATAGTTTTACTACCTAAATATAATCTTTTAGTTTTGCCTATTTTTGAACTTTATAAGAATGGAATCAGTGAAAATGAATTTGTGTGCCTGGTTTTTAAAGCATGCATCTGTGTTATTTTATGGACCTGCAGTTCCTTCAGTTTCATAAAGAATTCTATTCTAGAAATACACTACGATTTATTTAGCCATTCTACCATTGATGGATATCTGGCTTGTTTCCAGCGTTAGGCTATGTCAAATACGCTACCATAAAACGGTGCATACTACATGCATTTCTGTCGGGTACATAGTTAGGTGCTGAATTGCTGTGGCATAGAGTCTCTTTAACTTAGCTAGATTATGCCAAAGTGACTGTACTAATTTTTACTCCCACCAGCAGCGTCTGAGGGTTTTCATTGTCCCACACCCTGACACTCTTGAAGCTGTCAGTCTTTTTAGCCATTCTGGTGACTTCGTGCTTATAACTGAGTGTGATTTTACTCTGCATTCCCCTTACTATAAATATTACAGTCCCTGGGAAGCACCATCAATTAAGTGCTTGACTATTAACCAAAAAGTTGGAAGTCTGAACCCATCCAAAGGTGCCTTTGAAGAAAGGCCTGGAAAAAAAAGAAATTAAAAAATAAAAACATCCCCTCCCTCTTCATCCCCTCTGCCAAGAACAAAGTTCAAGATCTCAACATTTCTCAGTTTCACTGAAAACAAAGCATTTCGATTTCACCCTTTGACCTGGTCCCTGTCTCGCCAGCTCCTCTCCTCTGAGCGGCCTGTCTTCTCTGTATATCTGTTTATCTTAAAAAAATAAAAAAATCTGTTTACATCACTTAGGTTGGCACAGCTTCTATAGTCCGTCAAGATCTTCCAGAAAGTGGACTCCGCCTAAATTTCCAACCTCATGCCTAGCTCCTCCCCAACTAAAGCTTTGTACTTTATCGCCTCCTCCAGGAAGACCTCCCTGAAGGCTGGCTAGGTGGCTCGCACAGAATCCTGGGAATACCTCTCTCATTAGACGCTGGAGTCTCCACGGACTCTAAGCTCCTTGAGGGTAGGCTCTGTGTTTTAGTCGTCATATATATAGCCAGAATACTCAGCACTCTACCTAACACAGAAGACTTTACTTCAGCCGAACTTTGCAGACATCCTCCCATCCCCTTCCAGCAAAATCCCACTCAGGCTTAATTCATGAAGTCTTCCCGGGTCCCTCCAAGCAGTTAGGCACTCTGTCTCCTTTTTCCCTCGTCCCTGAATGTAACAAATTATATCTTAATAGTTTATATAACTAATTGGAGCCCTGGTGGCGCAGTGGTTAAGTGTTCGGCTTTTAACCAAAAGGTCGGCAGTTTGAATCCACCAGCCCCTCCTTGGAAACCCTATGGGGCAGTTTTACTCTGTCCTATAGGGTCGTTGACGGCAACGTTTTTAAAAAATATAACTAATTGCTATTAATGTTAACTTTCACCTTTTCTTGCCAAGTAACAGCAATCCAGGCCATGCCTCCGGGCGCTGCCCCAAAGCAACTTCCTCCATGGAAGAGGTCTCTGGCCCCGAGAGGGATGTATTTAACTTTCAGCACATGATGCTGTGTCTACTTAGCATGTGCTATTCTTTCATTAGAGCCGCTTACTAGTTCTTCCCTGCTCCCCTCGCCTTCCTCCCCGACAGACCGGAGACTCCGAGGGGTTGGGACGAGGGTCCACCTCCTCTCTGACCTACCCTCACCCTCCAGCACTGGGCACTGCGCTTTGCAAACGCAGCCCTAAGGCGTTGCGGGGCAGCTGCTGGAGAGATGGGCCCTTCGCAGACGTCTCTGCAGGCGGAGCCGCGCACCCCTCCCAGAGCACGTCCCGACCCGGGCTCGGGGGGGGGGGAACGTCGGCGCTGCGGGAAGAGCAGGACCGGCCTTCGGCGCCCAGCTTCTCAGTCGCCGCGGCGGTCAGGCCTGCGCAGGCGCAGTGGCTCTCCCAGCGCCCGACGCCAGCGCCGTCGCAGCGAGGACCTGCCGCCCAAGACTCGGGTGGGCGGGGTTGCCGGCCCGGGGGCGGGGCACAAGGCTGTTCTCGCCCGCTTATTGGTCCCCCCTGCTGACGGACAGGTAGGACCGGGCCTCTGACGAAGCGCTGCCGAGGCGCGGGCCCGAAGCAGCTTCGTCAGACACCGCTGTCGGTGCAGGGGGCGCCGTGAGGGAGAGGAGGCCGGGCGGGCGGGCGTCGGGTTGAGCTCCTGCGGCTCAGCTTGTCCCCTGCTCCCAGGACAGTGGTCCTTGGCTCTCCCTCTTCTGCCGGCACTGGGCCGAGGAAGTGCCGCAGAGCCTCAGCAGCCGTCCCCGCCTGGCGAGGGTCTTCCTTGTCGCTCCGGCCGGAAGACCCCAGCGCCGGGGCAGCTTCGTGGGGCTGGGGGTCCCCGTCGCCGCCGCCCTTTGGTGCACAGCCCTCCTTCCTCCCCGCACCCCCAGCATCACTGCTGTCCCAACCGGCCTTCCAGGCTCCCGCCCGGCTGTCGCCGGCCAGGTTTTTCCGAAAGGTGCATCCCGACTCATCGTCTGCTTCAAACCTGCGGCGCCTCCGGGGCCCGGGCGCCGAGACCGCCCTAAAGCCTGCCTTGAGGCATCGGGGGCGGGGGGGTCCTGCTGAGCTTTCCCGCCACACCGCCGAAGACTCGAGGCTGAGCCTGCGGCCTAGTGCTTCCGCCGGGACGGTCCCTTCTGCCCTCTGCCCTGGTCCCTCTGCCCCCGGAGGTCCCCGACTCGAGCGCCCCCCGCCTCTGGAGCGCCCCCAGCCCCCGGAGGTCCCCGCCTCTGGAGCGCCACCCCCGCCCCCAGAGGTCCCCGACTCTGGAGTGCCCCCCACCCCGGGAGCGGCCCTGACCCCGGCGCCCAGAGAGCCTTCCCGGGGTGCCGACGCTGCGCCCACCCCGACCCCCACCTCGGGCCGGGCCCTGGCCCCCCACACCTCGGCACACTAGGGTTCATGGCCCGTGAACTTCAGGGCAGAGGCTGTGGGTTTTTGATGGGTATCCCCAGGCCTAGCACAGGGCACATAGACTGGGTCTCAATAAACGGATACTGAATGAATCAGGGCACGGACTGGAAGGATCCAAAGTGGATATTAAAAACACTTCAGGCTGGACTGAGGCATTTTTGTGGGCTCACCAGAGACATGAACCATATCTTTTTCACCTCTGAATCCTGAGCACAAGTGACACCCCTTTTTAAATATGTGAATAAATCAAGAGGACAAACAGTGAAGTCGTTTAGTTGTGATCCCATCACAACCCTGTGCAACATTTTCTGCTCAGTCCCTGGGGGCAAGGTAGGGGGCCTCCGGGGCCATCACTGAAGAAAATCCAGGCAGGCTTACAGGGGTGTGTTTATGTTGTGAGCACTGTCAAGAGACAATGACACCGAATCCAAGAGGTGTTTAATGAGTGTTCCAGGAGGGTGGGGTGGGGTAGGGCTCCCCCATCTGATCCTCTGAGGCTCTGGGGTGACTCACTCTTCTTTGGGCTCTAGGGTGGGGCTGGTATTTGTTTCCTGAGTTGGGTCCTGCTCCCCTTGGCTCTCGGCACCAATGTCTCCAGCCACTAAAGCCACATTCCTCAGATAATGGATGTTGAAGCAGTTGCTCTGTTGGTCCCCACGACTCAGGTCACAGCAGAGGGCAGGGTCCCTCCAGGAGTTACGTTGGGAACCACACAGGTTCTCAACAAAGGTTGATTTCTAGGCAGGAGAAGCAGAGTAAAGCTTCTCTGGGTGTCCAAAGTCCCCCTTCCCTCGGCTTCCACCCCTCCTCACCCACTGGACCTTCTGGAGTCCAGAGAGGGAGCAAGGCTGCCTCCCTGGACAGCTGGATTCCTTGTGACTGACAGATACGAATATCTGGAAGTGCCAGAAGCTTGAGGCCCAGAGAAGGCATAATGGTAATTTAGGGGTGGGGAGCAGTTTAGGTGAGGAATGAAGACTTCTGGAACCCAGAAAGATCTCCTCCACCAGTCTTCATTATTTCTGTGAGCGGGTTTGAGGTGCTGGTGCAACCCATTCCCTCCCCCCGCCTGCACTTCTTGGGAGTCTGACCCTCCCTCCCCACACACTCACTTCCTTCTCCACACAGCAGGCCTGCTCTGGAAATGGCAGGTCACAGCACCGGGCAGTCATATTCTGGATCAGTCCAGGAATCTGTTCACTGTGTCAGAGGGAAAGGGGGGGGGGCGCAGGGGTCAGGGTCTTTGGGCATCCCCAGGCATCCAAATGGTGCTGGGAGACCATGATTTTGCGCTTTCCAGGGGTGTCCCACAAGGGAGTTTTTTGGGAAGGGAAGAGAGCTGGAGAACTGGGCAAGACTCACTGCTTGGTGAGAAATTTTCCGTTTCCACAGATATGGCCCATGAGGTTGGGGGTGACTTGGCCGATGTTAACAGTCAAGATGTCCCGGTCGTAGTTCGGGTGGGGAGCCTGACGGGCAAAGCACTCATTGCGGGCAGGGCTAGGGGCGTGGCGGCAACAGGGGTGTCCGTGGGTCTTTGTAGCCTGCTCCTTGGCGCAGTATCCATCAAGGACATCCTCCCACTGTGGGCCAGAGAGCCAAGTCAGAAGCCTGGGCACTTGGCACCTTCTTGCCTGGCCCTCTGCTTCCCTTACTGCCCCAGACTATGAGACGAGGGGCTCCCGGCCCCAGGTTCCAGGAAAACCTGTTGCCATCGAATCGATTCCGACTCACAGCAACCCTATCGGACAGAGCAGAACTGCCCCAAAGGGCTTCCAAGGCTGTAATCTTTACGGAAGCAGACTGCCACATCTTTCTCCCGGGAGCGGTTGGTGGGTTCCAACCGTCGACCTTTCGGTTAGCAGCTGAGCGCTTAAACCACTGTGCCAGGAGGGGAGGGCAAAGCACCAGAGGGCAAGGAGGCAGCTGCGGATTGTGGGGTCGGGAAGGTGGAAGGGTGGGAGCACAGATGAGGTTTGGAGTTGGCCACGGGAGGAGATGAGCTGAAACGGTAGATGGAGAGAGTCAGGTGAGGCCAGAGCTGGACGGATGGAGGGCAGACAGATGCCTGGGCGGTGCTATGGGCGGATAAGATCGGGAGTGCAGGATGAAGGCTCAGGATGAACAGACTCAGGTGATGAACACAACGGGTGCACAGAGTCACAAACAGGTGAGCAGGCGAGCGTGCTCACAGTGGGGAGGTACGTGGACGGACGGATGGCAGAGTCAGAGGTCGGAGACGGACGGGTGGGCAGGCAGACACCCACTTACGGCCTTCCGTGTGCAGATGTGGTTGTGTCCCTGGTGGCAGCAACGCTGGAATTCCTGTTCCAGCTGGCTCAGAGCCTGCAGCTGCCTCTCAGCGTGGCCGGTGGCTCGGAGGTTGCGTGGCACAGACTGGAAACGTCTCAGGAGACAGATATTCCTGACATTGTCCGCGGTGGGCAACCCCGGGGGAAAAGGCAGCTCGGGGCCCGAGGAAACACCGGGCTGTTGGCTAGGACAGGCCCGCAGCTGGTAGTGCGGCCGGGGAGCTTCCTCCTGGAAGCAGGAGAATCGAGCCTCCCCCTGCTGTGTGCAGCACGAGTAGGGTCGGGTCTTGACCGAGAACTCGGCCTCACAGAACCGGGTCATTGCGTCCTCCCACTAGAGCAAAAGGGGAGGGTCAGCCCAGAAGTCCGTGGTTCACATCGAACAGGACCCTGGGCAGGTAGACAAGAAGCCCAGGTTCTCCTCAGCTCTCCTGGGATACTGGGGAGGCCCAAGGGAGGGCCAACAAGAGACCTGAGGTTCCTCCGCAGCCAGGCCTAGGCCTCTAGCCCCTGTCTGGTGATCAAAGGCCCACCTCCCCAGGATCAAAAGCCAACCCTTACCACAAGTTTTGCACAGTCCAGGCGGCTGAGGCTGCTGTGGCGGCAGCAGCAGCGGGAATATCCGGCCTCCAGCAAATTGAGGGCTTCACCCTGGCGACTGAGGTGGGAGTAGCCAGTCTGGGGCAGGTTCCAGGGCCCATACACCACATGCTGACGGCCAGGGAGGCAGATCTGGTTCAGATTGTCTGGAGAAGGTCGCCCAGGGGGGAAGCCGTCTAGCCCGCGGCCCCAGCCCCCTTGGGGTGGACCTTGTTGACATTGCTGGGCTGAACTCCAAGACTCAGGCTCTGGGTGGCCCTGGCCCAGGAAGGGAGCTGGCTTTTCTGGAATGGGGAGAACAGAGTGGGAAGACGAAACACATGGAGGAACAGACAAAGGCTGGATGAGGTGGGGGAGCCCTGGTGGCGCAGTGGTTAAGCGTTCAGCTCCTAACCAAAAGGTCGGCAGTTGGATCCACCAGCCGCTCCTTGGAAACCCTATGGGGCAGTTCTACTCTGTCCTGTAGGGCCGTTATGAATTGGAATCGACTCGAGGGCAACGGGTTTGGTTTGGTTTGGTTTGGATGAGCTGGGAGGATTGAAAGAACTTGGGGCTGCGAAGAAAGGGTAGGGAATATATAGGGGAAAAGGGGAAGAAATTAATTTGCGGCTATGACCTTCGGAATGACTGACTGGAAGAGAAAGAGAATCGAGACATGGAAGGTGACACCCTCACAGTCCCCTTCAGGCCCTGCTTGCTGTGCTGCTTCCTCAGGCTCAGGCTCGCTGCCCCCTCCCCAGGTTCTGACTTCTAATGCAGGGCAATGGACAGACCAAAGCTGTCATTCACCCCCTGTCCGCCTGGAACCAAAGGGCACTTGCTCTTGGTGTGGGTCCACTGGGGTAGAAGCAGACGGGTAAGCAGAGGTGACAGCTCCCCCCACCCCAGGCCGGCACCTCTACAAGACGGGGACCTGACTAGGTTCCATTCATGAAGAGGAACCCATCAAGGAGCAAGTAAAAATGAACGCTTTTTTAAATGTTAGATAAATATATAAAATAGACATTATTTCCCCGGTTTTACAGATGGAGAAACTAGGGCTTAGAGAGGTAACTCACTCAAAGTTACACAGCTAGTAGCTGGCAGAGCTCACTACCTTGTCTGCCTCCAAAGCTCCTGTTTATAAGACAGGGCAGGTGGGTGGGTACAGAGGGGAAGTCACTTACCTTCTTTTTGTTCTATAGGGAGCGGGCGCGGGGGCAGCTGTTCCTGAATGGGGATGGCTTCGTGGGGGAGAGGGTGATCCACTGGCAGTCAGAGTCAGGGCACAGGCAAAGAAGCAAGGATCAGCCTGGTGTCAGGAGGTCCCACGGTGGGACAGGGGTTCGGGGAAGGGTTAGCACTTACCTTTCCTTTCACCAGGGACCTGGCGCGGGGGCAGCTCTTCCTTCTGGGCAGGAACCGCTTCCTGGGAGGGAGGGGGCTGCACTGAAAAGGGAAGGTATGAGCAGTTGGTCCCTTCTTCTAGACAGGGCAAGGCGAGGGGACGGGGACTCTCCCTCCTCCCTATCAGAGAGCAGAAGGAAGCCCCAGTAGGAATTGGAGGACTAAGAAGGACGCGTGGTGGGGACCTACCTTCCCTCTGCCCCTCAAATTGAGGGTCCTGCTGAGCTGTGTTGGGGTTGTCCACGGGGAGGGGTCGGGTCTGGGGTGGGGAGGGGGGTGCCGCATAGCCAACTAGAGGCAAGAGGAGACCGTCAGAGCCTGTAGTTCCTCCTGGTCCCCCAGTCCCAGGCTGTTCTCCTAAACCCTTACCTTCTTGAAGGTGCTCGGCTAGGTGCTGTGGCCTCAGTTCTCTCTGTCCCGGAGCCTTGGGGCCTGGAGTGGGGAAGCGGGGGCTTAGGGGCAGTTTTAAGGTCCCCTTTCTGGCCCTGAGCAAGGGATGGGGAGGCTGTGGAGCTTGAGTGTAGGGCAAGACAACCAAGATACCAGGAGCCCCTCTGTGTTGCTCCCGCTCTGGGTCCCCCACAGTGTGTTGCGTGGGTTGGTGTCACACCCCCAGGGATAGACCTGTAAGTTTATTATCCATTTCAGTCATAGAGTAATATGTGATAAATATAGCTGTAAATTGCTTAAATGTAGTATTTCTTAGATTACATGAACACTAACAACAAAATTGTTTTGTAAAATCTTTCTAGATCGAGTCACAACAGTTACAACATTATTAGTAACTGAGCGGGAAGCCTTGTTTGATTTTTCTCTTCTTTTCCTTGAATTACTACTTTATTCTCAAAGAAGTTATTGATATAGGTTCACAAATACTAATCACCACAAAATTATAGCTACAAAACCAGAAAATTTCACCAAATCAGCGACTATAAAAACACTGGCAGCAAGGATAACAATAGCACCTGCTCGCAGCCCTTGCAGCCGAAACCACGTGATTCAGTGTGGTTGGGTCACGATGACAGACGGCTCTGAACCGAGCGTGTTAGAAGGTTCAAAAAGTCCATCAGCACAGAGTTTTAGCCTTGTAGGTAGATTGATACATGTAAGCTGGGCTTATGAAAAATACTTTTGTTATTGTAACTACCTTCAGGGATATTTTTATAAAAAAATACATTTTTGCTGAAATACTGCACAGAAATTTTACAGACAGTCATTTTGGTATCACCCTCTCTGACAGGGTCACCTGGTATAGTCTGCACCCCACTAGGGGTGCCACTGGTCCCCTCGTCCACCCCCCAAACACACTTAGATGTGACTGGCTGGATTCTGACAGAGCCTGTGACACCCTGATATTCTTTGCCCCTGCTTGGCTCTGGGGCTAGGAGGGCAGAGCCTCCTCTTCTGTTACTATCCTTCCCTCAGGGCTCCTGGGCTCTCCTCTCCACAGCCTCTCTACTGTGGTGCTTCTCCAGTTTTCAGAGGAAACAGTCTGGATCCTGAGCTGGTTGGAGCCTCATCTGTCCACTGCCTGCCCCACTCCAGCTCCATGTCCTCTAAATCTCTTAGGCCTTCTGATAAGGAGGCCAGTCTGGGGGCATGTTAGGTGCCTTCCCTTCAGTTAGTCCCAGCTCCTCCTACCCAGGCTGTTTAAGACCTGAGGGACTGGGATGATTCATGACACCTGAGGCAAATGACACCCACAGCCACAGAGAACTGAATCTCTGGTGGCTCCTCTGCAGGCACAAGGAACGAGGAAGACGGAGAGTCAGTGAGACAGAGCCTTCTCGAGATGTGAGCTAGACGTTCTCTCAACACTCTCCTTCCTGTGTTCCCTGCTTGGCTCAGGCACCAAAGCGGATGAAGAATGGTGTGCACTAGGGCTCTTTCATCTGGTCCCCTGTGGACAGACACCCCTACCTCCTCCTTAAACAGGCAACAAGCTGGTCACGGCCCCCTGGGTCAGTAAGCTGGTTTAAGTGGCCTGAGGGCCCCTTCCTTCTCCCTCCCCTGCCTAGAGGTCCCCCCCGACATGTTCAGACAGAGGCCCCTATTCTGTCGCTCGACCCACCCACTCAGGAGTTGCCCACTCGACTCCAATTCTGTGTGTTTGGCAGCAATCTTTAGGAACCCCTCTCTTCTCAGGAGGGACCAGGCCCTGGAGAAGGACATCATGCTTGGTAAGGTAGAGGGTCAGTGAAAAAGAGGAAGACCCTCAACGAGATGGACTGACACCGTGGCTGCAACAATGGGCTCAAACACAGCCACGATTGTGAGGATGGCGCAGGACCAGGCAGGGTTTTGTTCTGTTGTCCACAGGGTTGCTGTGAGTCGGAACCAACTCGACGGCACCTAACAACTCTCTTCCTGCCCTGATCTCCCTCCCTGGTGAAGAGCCCCAGTGGCCCTGCCCAACAGGCCCGCTCAGGAAAGGAGGCCGAGGGGAGCAGCACCCGGCTGGGGAGGCACTGTCTAGAACGTGGGGACCCAAGTCCAGCCCACGCCAGCCAGGACCTCCTGCCAAGTAAGGACTCCAGCTCCAACTCACCTCCCTCCGAGGCTGCAGAAGTGACGGCCAAACAGGCCAAGACCAGGGTCATGGACATGGTCCCCATCCCGGGGCAAGGGCTGGTCACTGGCTGCAGGAGGTGGGTTCTCTCAGGCAGATGTGGATTTGAAGGGCAGGGCTGCTGCGAGCTGGCTCTTCTGGTTGCTGTCCCTGATGCTGTGAACTTCAGGCCTGCTCTTTCTCCTTTTTATAGTCTGGCTGTGTCTCCGCCCTCCCTGCTTCCTGCTGTGACTCAGTCCCGCTGGCAGCCGCTCCTCTCCTCCTGAACTCAGCCTGAGGCCTCCTCAGAGGACTGAGAATGGGGGTGATGACAGGGGAGCATTCTCATGACCCCAAGAGAAATGGAGTCTGGGAGTCATGGAGCAAGAGCTGTTTGGGACCTTATTTTGGGCCCTGATTTCTCCTGGATGCTGCCTTCTGTGGAGAAAGGATTTGACAACCATCTGAACTGGGGCTGGGGAAACAGGGTACTAAGGAGTGTACAGTGGGGAACAGAACAGCCATCTCCGGGGGCCTCCCGACCAGGGAGAGGCCTGGGCTGTCCCTTTCCAATTCTTCCAACCCCCAGCAAAGAGGGAAAAAGAGTCCACCTCCCTCTCAGGAGTCACAAATGAAGACACGTACCTGACAGCTTAAAATTTATTATTTTTAGTTTCACTCTCTTCATATTCAAACAGCTACAGCTTCCCTCCCTCCTCTCTAGGGTTGCCACACCAAGTCTCAGTTCAAAAGAGAACTGAGGCGGGGAGCTGGGAGGCTCTGCGGGCCTCCTGGGGACCTCGTCTGCGCACAAAGTCTCAGAGCATTTCTTCAGCGTTCGAGACCCTGGTGTTCTGCAGCTCCAGCAGCCGCCCCACTGCTTCAGTCAAGCTGCGCTCCCCAAGCCGACGGTTATCTCGAGTCCGGATGTTCACCGTTCTCCTACTTTGCTCTTTCTGGCCAACCACTGCAGGGGGAGGAGGGGAGGTTTGGGAATTTCAACGCAAGTTTATCCATATGGAATACTGTTTTGATCTGCAGAAATTTAAAAGAGACCTAAATCTTTAGGAAGGGTGGAATAGGACCCAAACATGGTTCAAAGAAAGGATAAATTTAGCTGTCACTTGCTCTCCAGCTCTCTGCTCATCCTGAGGTGATAAGGACGTGTCCTGCGGCCACCCATTCCCCTGTGTGCCTTATCACTAGAATCAGCCAGATAAAGACAAACAGATCAGAAATCAGAAAGAGAAACTCTGTGTGTGGGGTGGGGGTGGGGGCAGGAGAGGAAGGGGAAGACACAGGCGCAGAACACAGGTGTGCAAGTCCGTCAAGACCCGGGATTGTGGGGTAGGCAGCCTGCTCCAAGTGCTGGCAGGGCGAGAGGGTGTGTAAAACTAGAGATGGGGGACACTGGCTGTGGAGTTTCTGCTCCTTTTCTTCAAGACAGAGCTCTGAGCCCTGGAAAACTAAAAACAGCAGGACTGAGGCAGGACTACACTCTTCTCGGGATGACCATCTAGGAGAAACCTAGCTAATTAACTACCCGCTTATTAACCGTTCCTATTCCTTTCTCACACTGCCTCGGTTCCTTACCCCAACAGACACCAGGAGCCAGGGTGAGGTGGGTAACAGGAAAACTGTTCTAGGGTAGGAGGTGGCTGTCAGGGGGTGAAGGAACCTGGGGCCCAACTGAGTCAAGTGTCCTGAATTTTGGCTCCTTCTGATCAGGAAGTGAACCTCAATTAACCCAAATATGGAGTTGACCAAACAGACAGGAAAGAAGACTGCAGAGGCGTATGGGAGAGCTCAGGGCCCCGAGGTCCTGGCCTTCAGCTGCTCCACTCACTCACCAAACTGAAAGTTGTAGTGGGCAAGCTGGGCCCGGCGGACTCTGCGGCTGAGGCTCAGTCCAGAGTCAGCATCCAGGTCGCCTACCAGTCCTGCAGCCTGTAGGCTCTGTTGTACCTGGGGCAGATGTTTGGTGATGGGAATTAAGTTAATGCTACAACAGTGTGATGCCAATCTTCCAGTCTCAGTGTCCTCTACCTCCCACTGACAACCTCATTTCACCTCCACTCCAAGTCTTTGGCCTCATCCCCACCCCTTGCAGCTTTTTCTCCTGCCTCCCAATCCCTGGGCCTCTGCCTGCTTCTAGCCACCCAGCTACCAACCAGCTGCTCGCCTCTGGCGCCATCCACACCCTGTTCTCTCCAGAAGTGAAAAATAAAACCAACATTTACTCAACCCCACTTTTGTGCCAAGTACTGATGGCAGTTTTCGACATCTGTTAATTTGTTTAATTTTCACATGTGCCCGCAAGGAGAGATGACTCCCTTGTTTTCGATGTACGTTTCCAGGCCCCGGGCATGGGGAGCACATAGGGGAGCTGCGGGTCACCTCGGTCTGGTGGCCTCAAGCGCTGTGCCATCCTGCCACCCTGTGGGGCCTCCTCCCACCCGCTGCTGGGACCTGCTCCCTACTAGTCCTGCTGCGCCTTGGCCCTGGCCCCACTCCTCACCTCCCGAGCATATCCCTCCTGCTCAGGCCCCACAGGGATGACCACCACCTGAAATGGGGACAGCCACAGCGGCCTGGTTGGGAGAGAACAGAGGAGGGTGAATGACTGATGCTGGCTCTGGGCAGAGGTGTGGGAGTGCAGTGAGGCTGGGGTGCAGGGGGCAGGTTTGAGAAGGAAGCAGAAGTTGGGTTTGAAGGGGAGGAACCTCTGGTTCGAGGGCCAGAGCAGAATGGGGTCAGAGGTCTCACCATTTGCCCCCGCAGCTTTCCGCCAGCACCGCCAGCATTCTTTCCACGGAGCCTAGTACTGCTCGGTGAATGAGGACGGGCCGCTCCAGGGCCCCGGCCTGCCTTGGAGGAAAAAAGGCAGATGGAATGGAGTGTAAAGGGTGCTACAAATTGCACAATCAACGTCACCTTCCAGTTTTTGAGAAATAGTCTGCCCCTGGCGGGGTGCGGCGGGCGGATTGGCTTTAGGCTTTAGGGTCACGGGCTGCTGAGGGAGGAGGGGAGGGGCGGGGTCCGTACCCTCTGTACCGGAGGCCAAATCGCAGGGGCAGCTGGAAGTCCAGCTGGATTGTCCCACACTGATGGGGCCGACCCAGCGCATCCTGGAGGTGCACATCAATCTGGAGGAGACGGACGGGGGCATGAAACCAGGACCAGTACCCTCCGCCGTCTCTGGCACCCGGCCCCTCCGCCTGCCCACGTCACCCGGCTGTATCACACTCCCCGCTCTGCGTCACGCACTGGGCTCCGGTATCACTTCAGGAACGACCCGTCCACACCCGCCTCTCAACTTTTTGAGCTCCTCATCTCAGTGACCTTTGCCCTCACCCCAACCCCGGCTACACCCTCCATGCTGTCATCGCCCAGGACGGCTGCACCTCTGAACTGTCCATCAGACACCCTGCTCTCGTTACCACCTGTCAGCCTTCCAGCTCTGACAATTATTCCTATTACTGGTTCTTCAGCCTGTAGGCCCCTTAACTCCTCTTCTTCCTTCCCATCCACAGGCCTCTGCCACCTTCCTTTCTCTCCCTGTGCGCTGTGCCCACCTTCCCCGTTCCGCTGTTCTTCCGTCACACCACATGGCAAAACGCCAGCCTGAGGCCACCCCAGCCTCCCACCTCCTCAGCCCTGCAGAGCTGCTCGGTGCCGCCCGACATGTCACACACGTGGCAAAAACAGACAGACGCCACTACACAAGTCACCCTTCGCAACCTCAACCAGAGCCTCGATGCCGCCAGCAACCCCGACTGCCCCCATCAGCCCTCATCCAGCTCTCCTCAGGGATTACAAGCTGTTATCATCATGCCCC